GAAATATATATACATATATATATATATATATATATATATATGTGTGTGTGTGTATGTGTGTATGCATAATATATCAACATGAGTTTTATTTATTAAAGAAGATATATTATGAAAATTTGTGTGATCAGTTGGATCTTATATTATGAGCATAAAAGTAACAATTAAATTTATTTATTGGGAAATAGGTAAATTTTATTATAATTAGTGGAGTAATTTATCTTTTATTTGTTAAGTGACTACGCAATTTTAGTGCTTTTTGAAAGTAAAGATCAATTTGACTCGATAAATTCTATTCAGTGATTCTATATATTTTACGAATTCCATTAATAAAATTTTATCTATCGGGCATGGGCAATGGCTATTTCCTACATACTTTCTTTGTATTTATTTTTCTCTACCGAAAATAACGGATTGGCGGCCCTAGTGCAGTTTATATAATTCGCAGTTTTAAATAATTCAACTAGGTCATTAAACTTCAATCATTTTTGATGCACACCTCTTTAAATCTCATGAAATCTCGATATGTCAATCACCTCCTGATTTATTCATCGTAGAAAGGTTAAAAAAGAAAGGCGTTTTATCGCCTGAAGTCAAATGTCGTGATGCAAGATCTGGAATTTATAAGAAGCCGAACTTCGAAGTCAATATGCAGTCTTAAAAAAAGAGAGATACGGTTGAACATCGTCTCTAGTATTAAATCGCACAATTTTATTCTATTTTGAAATTTCGAAAGTCTAACTTGTATAGAGCGAAGTGTTTAAGGGTTGCGAAATGCTACTTTCGGCCTGAGTGCCAAAAATAATCTATGAAGTTTCGAATGAAAAGAAAAAGAGAGCGGGAAGAGTCTCTTAATTGTTTTTGATACATTTGATGTCGTTTTTGCGGAAACGAGATTGTAGCCTTGCATTCGTTCGTTCCATCGATTACTGTTTTAATTATAGATTTGAAACGAGTGCATGTAGTCATCAAAGATATACACAGAACGCAGCTGTTTGTATGTACATATATACATTCAGTAACTCGACTAAGGATTCTTTTATCTCATTCATTTACGTTAAACATGCACATGTTTAGGTCAAGGCTAATATTGAATATGATAATCGATAGAAATTAAGATTCTGGTGCATATCATCGATAGTTGCGCAAGTATAATACGTTTTAAAGTATAATAAAATATAACATTTTTATCCGGGTAATTAAAATTTTTTAAAATTCTTATTAACAGTAAATTTTTACAATTTCTAGTTTGAAATTATAAAAATTTACACAATATATTATTAGCCACAATATCTGCCTTAACCAAATATGACCCTCTTCATTTATTTGTGATGAACATTTTGTGATTCATTTTTACTTAATAATAATAATAATATGTAAAATAAATTAAAGAAATTAATTTAAAAAAATGAATAATTTGATTAAATCGATAGCTTTGCTAAAAATTCGAGAAAATTTAAGATTTAGAAAATAATATTTTTTTCCAGACATACATATCTAAACATACATATCTAAAAAAATATCATACAAACATATCATATAGACATTTTTTGGGATATCCATAAAGGATATCTAAAAGATATTATAAAGAAATCTTCTAGAAAATATATGTTATCTGAGCTAATAGTTTATACATTTCTGTTACATTATATCACAACCGTAATGAACTTTAATTTTATGAGTTTGAATAAAGTATTAATACTAATAATGAAAAACACATAAAGTACTATTTATGTTTACTATATTTTTATTGTTACAACTAAAGTACGACTAAGACTAAAGTAGATAAGGTAGGTAGGATTAAGACAAAAGCTACAGAAACACATGAAGGGTGCAATCCACTTGGCGTTACAAATGCTTCGAAGCTTTTAATTGATTAATTGAAAGGAAGAATTTTATTAATTAACCAACCAAAAAATGCTTCGAAGTAGCATTTGTAGCATCAAGTGGATCATAGTCAGCCAAAGTCTTTAAATGCTGTTCGGTTGTCGAAGTTTCTCGTCAAGTCGTCGAATTTCTACCGGCATCGTTTCGTGAAGAAATTCGCCCCCGGCTGCTGTAAATGTAGTCCCCTCTACGTAATATGATTGCTTGTCAGGACGTTGACCAGTATTCGACTTTCTCGACACTGTAGTCGAAAAATGTAACGTGAACGAACTTTCGTGAGGCCCACATCGGAGAATCAGCCTCGCCCAAGATCGGTGCCTGTAAACAAATAATTGCTAGAGATAGCTATGATTTAATCACAGTACACGTGACACAATGTTATGTTATGTTTGCCGAACATTTTAATAATTGTAATCCACTGTAACCGCAATTATGGACATTTCATGATAATCGCTTTATCTTCACCTGAATGAGATATTAAAAAGGCATATCAACTTTGATTAATGATAAGAGGACATTATCTGTCCGTCACCTTCACTTATTGTGATCGATTCAAGGACATTTCGCGATATTATTTCGCTTTTTGTGAATTTTAAATCTTATTGCGATAATAAAAGTAATAAAGGTTTTGTAAACAAGTTTAAGTTCATTTACCCTGAATGTGCTCGAGAAGAAGAAAAAATTATTTTGCAGATAAGAATAAATAATGACATTATGTAAGCAATTTAAAATTATTGACGTCAGTTTATAATTCACTGATTCTAGATCACACATGTTCTATTCTTCACGCATTTTTAATAGTTAAAATAATTGATAGATGAATAAAAAAATATCTATTAGTAATGTAATTAGTTTTTAATTAATAAATAATATAATTAGTTTTTTTTGGATAAAAAAAATAAGCTTTTGCATATCGTTTATTTAGCAAAAAATTCCCATATTTGTTAACAATCGTCATAAGTGAAAAATGACATGTTGAAGTTTCTTGCATTGCTATTTGTATAGAGAGGAGAGAGAGAGAGAGAGAGAGAGAGAGAGAGAGAGAGAGAGAGAGAGAGAGAGAGAGAGAGAGAGAAATTTTGATAAAACAAAATAATAAGATTGCTTTAAAAGCCTTGTCAAAATGGGTCATTCTTTATTCTTTTAATCTCTTCAAATAGTAAATAGGCGTATTTTCATTTCACATAATTTTTACGATTATTTACTAATTGTCGAGGGGGAGGAAAGAGGTAAAGATAGCTTCGGGTCATTTTTACAAGTGTTTCAATCATTATTTTATCAAAATTTTATTTACAAATAACACGTAAGAAACTTCAATGTGTCATTTCTCGCTTATGAAATCACGATCCAATATGGTTGCGGCGATTAGTGTCGAGCCAGTTAATTAAAAATATTTTTTAACATAGAATTAATGCTGAAATCTGTAAGAATATTTGTATTTGCTCCCGAAATATTACGATAGTATTATATTAATTATTTGAGTATTAACTTGAAAGGAACATAGCAAGATGTGGGATTTTGAAATAAAATACCTTGATATTAATTTTATGAATATATTTTTACATATATATATATAAATTAAAAAACGCATGATATAATTTTCTCTTTTATCATTTCACGCATTAATATGCGATTTTTTTCTAACGATTATTAAATTTTCAATTGATATAATAATAACATATAGCTTAATTTATTTATAAATATATAAGCTATGTATTCTAAAAAGCGTATATTATATATATTATGTATATAAGATTGTATCAAAGAATTTTTACTATCGATCGCTATTAACAATTCTGGCAGAATATTTACAGATTTCCAATTGTTGACATCATTATCCATTCGCATTGCATTATTGTACATTTGTGAAGGAATGTTTTCAGTAGTATATAAGCTGCAACGTGTTACAAAAATTGAGATAAAATACTGACACCAGTGATAAAATTAGGTAATAAATCTGTACTGTTCCATAAAATAAAGAAAACCTATAAAATATAAGTGCTATCCCATATAAAAATTACTCTCTACCCTACAAAATAAAAATAAATTATTGCGCCAACAATATTTGACTTGCTAAAAAGAAATTGTCACAATCATTGTTATTACCAGTCTATCTTAGGAAAGAATTCTGCAACGTCCTGAAAGACCTCTTCCGGTGTTTTCATAGAATTAACTTTATAAACTAAACCTTGCTGCTCATACATTTCTATGATCGGTAAAGTATTTTTTAGGTAAGTTTGATGACGTAGAACCAAAGATTGCTCATTGTCGTCGCTGCGCCCGCTTCCACTGGCACCACGTTTCAGGCAACGCTGAGTACAAACTTCTTGACTGCACTCGCAGAATATTACGCCCTTGAGAATAACTTTGTCAGCCATCATCTGTCATCAACATATGCCATTCATGAAATAACTGTAATATGCAAAGTCCAGTGCCTACAATCGATTAATTATTAGAGAACCAGGTACAATCTTAAAGTAAATGGTAATACATACAACCATATGTGCGTATGCATACATATGTGTAATATATATATTATTTTTTAAATTTAACTATCAACTAAATAAAAAAGGATCATATAATATGATTGAGACTAGAGCTTTGGTACTGGATAATATTTATTACTTAAATTTTAAATATATTTTCCAATTATTTAACTGTGTTTCAATTATTATAATATTATTAGACTTAACAGGCAAACATAAACTAAAGCTGAAATAATCACAATTACATTGATTGTCAATTTAATAATATCCAATGCTAATAAGCATCTTAGAACACTCCGACACTTATTATGAAAATTAATGATTATATTAATTATCAAAACTCTATATGATTATTAAAGGTTTTAAATGATAAAACTACTAAATTAAGATGATGAATGAAGATGACGAAGAAATAATTTAATGAAAAATTAAACTATTCCAAACACAAGCTTCACATATCAAATATTTATACATTCTTTTATGAAAATAAAATATTGTTCTGTATATCAATTTTTCAATTATATGAAAAGCACAATCTACTACTAAGAGACAAATCCCAATAATAATTGATTGGCAATCATAGATTTAAATGATATTTAGAACACACTGATATTCACTGATTTCACTGATATGCATATCTATGAGTGTGTTCCATTTCGTGTATGACACGTATAACGCATCACTTTATCCTTCTTCAATATTCGTAACAACAAGGATAAAAAAATTATGCGCATTATACGTGAAATAAGGCGATACCTTATTCCAACCGTCAAGATTATCCTGATTCCTGGGAAAGCCGTCGATGAGAAACCGGTGATGTGGATTTTTAGATGTCTGCATGGCGCGATCGATGAGGCTACAGGTGATCTCCACCGGGACGATCGTACCGTTTCTGATATGTGTTTCGATGAGCTCGCCATACTCCGAGCAGGGTTTGGCACGTTCCTCGCGCAGCAGATCACCAGCCGATAGATGAACATAACCGTAATTCTCGACAATGTAGCGGCAGAGCGTGCCCTTGCCGGCACCCGGACCTCCTAGGATGAACACCACTTCCGGCTTTTGCATCGTGACAGCGGACATTGTGCGAATACAACGTCGCACATCGGCCACGAGAGTTCGTAACATGTATAGAAAATCACTATATATGTATATACCAACGCACACACCGATTAATCCATTGCTAATATTCATACACTGCATGTAATGTACGCGGCGGTTATACTGGCGCCATTTTTAAAAGGCAAGAACAGGTGCATCTAGAACAATCCAGAAGAACAATCCAGAAGAACAACCGCTCAGTGAACTCTTGTACATGTTTGGTCTATATTTTTAGCTCCAATGGAAATGCCAATTAAATGCAAGAGCTCACTGAGCGCTCAGTGAACATCGTGTTTTGGTTTGTTCTGGACTTAATGTCAGAAATCGGATACATCGGAATGCACGGTTTCTGATAGGTTGAATCGTTTATTCCCTAGTACGGATCTAGTTGTTTTAAGCTGTAAGGAATTAACCAATTGTAGTCGAATGCGAGGAGAATAATTGATTGTAATTCATCCATTTCTTCTGGCTTAAGGATTAAAAATCTATTGTAGATTTGGGCTTATTTCTAATTTCTTATTTTTTCTACGCAGGGTCTAACGAATGACTAGGCGAATCAATCAAAAGTTCTGATGGCTAGTCTCTGTTAAAACATCACAGACTTCTCTGGATTTGACATACATATTCTATGATTGTACTGTGACGAAAAGAGGAGATGAAAGAGATATATTTTTGTTAACCTCGTATAAATATTTTATTATTGTGAAAAGGAAAATAATGCAAACATGTCTATGGTATTTGTAATTTTATGTTGCATAATTGTAAATGTTATATTTCAATTATATAATACTAAATCTATTTACATCTTAATTCTTAACGTCCATATTTATATTACTCTCCACAATTCGTTATTGATATTTAATATAATTTTATGTTTTTAAAATTTTATTTAGTTAAACATCAAATTTAATAGAAATAAGGAATGCACGGGATACCATATGATTAAGATGTTACTAGTGTTAATGTATATTAATTTTATCTTCTTAATATATAATTTATTTTATAGCGACCTGATGATCACCGAAGGAAATGGAATCGAGAAGAGTATGAAAGGATTGCACTTCAAAGACTTCAAGATGAGATTGCAGAGGAAGAATTAGGAATTCCCAAGCAGCCAGCAGTTAAAAGAGAATTGCTGAAGCAAAGAGATTACAAGGTTGATCTTGAATCTAAACTAGGAAAAAGTGTTGTTATCAATAAAAATACGCCATCATCACAAACTGGAGGGTAAATTTCAACTCCTAAACTATCTTTCAAAAAGTATTAAATATATAATAATTTTATTACATATACTGCAGCTCATTAATTTCAATATACTTCTAGATTCGTTAATTTCTTTAAAGAATGAATATGATGTTTGTACAGAAATGATCCATCTATTATAAGCTTTTATCACTTGCATGCATTGTATTTAGATATTATTTATTTAAAAATATTTGAAAACTATAATTTTCGAAAAGAATTTAATAGCCAAATAGTATCTGATTTCTTGAAATAAATAAAATATACACAAGGTACTTATGGTAATATCAGATATATGTCTACTTCTGTTTTGAAACTGATTCGTCAATATGTATATTTGCATGAGACAAAAGTTTTATAACTTCAAGGGAGACAAAAAGATATTATTGGCTTGACCTTGGTGGTTTCAAGATTAAGGCAAGAAGAATTTTTTAAATAAAATTCTACTTTTTATTACTTATAGCTTATCTCAAGAGTTAATTTTTTAAAACAATAAAATTCCTTTTTATTAACTTTTTGAATTATAATTATATTTAAAAGTTTAGCATTACCCAAGATATCTGATCAACAGCTAAAACCTCTTGAATGTTGTTCAGAATCATAATCATGACCTTGATAACATTTATTAAATTCAAGGCCATATAAAATTGTTCCTCTTATTTTTATTTTCGCTGAAATATGAATAAATATATATATA